AAACTAATGTAATTTAAATAACGTAATTGTAAAATTAATAAGTACTTTTTTTTCATTTTTAGGTATTACGAGTATACAGAATTAATTGATTTCGTACTGTTTTCTTACAAGGTCCGTATTGTAATGTACCTAAGCACATTATGGTATTGAGTATTGCTCTTTTCACCGCGCTACGAGCTACCATCCAAAAGAGATGTCCGAGCCAATGAAGTACGGGTATGTATTAATTGCGTTGTTAAACTTTGCACACGAACACGTGATAATGAAATTAAAAATACTAGACGGTGGAATGATGTTGAAAAACATACTTCCTTATCATATTCCTAGTTTTCTATAATTGGAACATTGCCCACAGATTATAGTTCCGACCCCAGGCGGTAATGTTCCATTTAAAACAGATTTCCGGACGTGACAAGTGAGGTTCAACCCTTAGATCTCATTGGTCGTAATTGTGATTGATGGGCATCGACATTCGTTCCAAATTAAAATGACGAGTAATCCGCTGAGACGTTATGTTTTATGATCATTACTTTAAGAAAAAAAAATCGCTTCAAACTAATGTTATATTTATTCAGACAAAGACGTCGTTATTGCGCCATAAAACCACGACCAGGCATTTTAAATGCCATTTTTTAGAATTTCTAATTTTCTCTGCACAGACAACGTTTTCAGGAATGTAGCTACATATAAAAATATATTTTTTTAGTACATAAATCGGATACACACGATCTGTTGTGTCTTGATAATGAAAGACGATGCAATTAATTAATGCAAGCTTTATTGTAGTACTCATGTAAACACAGTTCTATAATCGGACGCGAGAATGAGAGAGCATATATGAAGTATATAGTGCAATTCGGTTACAGCGCACTTGTCCCCCATAACATATTAAAAACAAAAATATTATACTATAACCATAATCAGGTGGAGTGAGAGGAACATATTTGATTCTGAGTCAAATATGTTTTAAGCCCCAGGAAGAACAAATAAGGCTGATAAGAATTTAGAAGTACACCAACCTTGCCCATGTTTATCAGCTTTACATGTTTTAACAATCATTACGCTAAATTCAATACTTACGATGTATTTGCGAAAACGTGCAAATTGTGCCAACGTTTCCCTACGTCCAAAAGATGGGGTAAGAGTCATGGTATATCTTATATAGGTAATATATACCTCGTGACCTCAACAATTCAAGAATTAAATTTGTTTTTTCTGCCTTCTGGATTTGTTCGTAGCGACATCTTTTTTGAATCGTTAAAACTAATTCGTTGGTCTGTTTTATCAACTGTGAGACTATACTTCTAAACTCTTTAGATTATGAGTTAAAGCTTCAAGTGTCACTTCCCCCGGTGCTCCTCTTACACCATATATTTAAAAAACAAATTTGCTACCATCTAAATTTATAAGTTCGACCTACTTCTGCCGCCAAGCAGTAATGTGAACCGGTTTATAATGGTAAGGGTGCTGGTGACATTACACGCACATGGGATTTGTCACCTTATGTCTCACGGTGGTGGCACAACCGGGACTCTCCGTACAACGGACGAAATTTATTTACCTACTACTACTACATACACTAAGGCGCTATCTGCACACGCGCAAATGTGCTCGTGAAGTGGCAGGGTTACCCATCATTTTCCCGTACGTGGTCGGACCAGCAATATAGCGAAAATTATAACGCGAATCTATTTTTTTATTTATTTATATATATAAGGTACAACTGTCTTAATATAGTCATAGTTCTACAAAACTGTATATACAGTTTGACTGTAGAATCAAGAAATGAGTCTTAAATTAAACTTAGATATCCACTTATTATTATACACACTTAATATTATACACACTCATACTGAACTGTACTATACCGAAAAATATGGAGAGAATCCGGGAGTACTGAAACTTACAGCTACTCAATCAGATATCTTGGAAAAGCCAAACCTTTAACTTTTTCTTAAATCTATATATCTTGGTTTCACGTCTAATGGCCTCGGGTAAATTATTAAGTAGATACGGAATACGTTTTTTTAACGTCCTATCTCCATAATAATTACTTATTTTTGGTACTATAAATTTACCCGTTGTCATTGATCTTGTGTTGTATTTGTTATTAATTTTACATAACAAATTACTAGACACATCACTATAATTATTAACAGCCAAAAGGTATTTGTGCTGTAGACTTACCGGTAAAATTTTACAAATTTTGAACAATTTACTGTAGTCACCTTTACATTTTGCTTTTGTTTTATTGTTAACAAGTAATTTTAAAAACCTAATTTGCATGTTCTCTAACCTGTGAATGTATGATCTAAATGTAAGTCCATAACTGTCAAGGGCATAATTCAGTATTGATTCCACCAATGCCATATATAAACACTTTAATGTGCTACTTGGTACTTTGTAACTTAAGTGGTAGAATTTACCTAACAGTATTCTAAGTTTGTTACAAATAAAATCTATATGAGCGGACCAAGAAAAATGTTCATCTACTTTCATACCTAAGTATGTCACGCATTTTACTCTTTCTATAGGCTTACAATTACAATTATTACTATTATGTAAACATTGAAATGAATGGGCGAGTATGAGACTGGGGGAGTCCTCCAAAGGCATATAAGGAGAATGTATTATTAATAATTTAGTTTTTTCTGTGTTTAGTATAATTCCGTTATCGTGGCTCCATTTAACTACTGCGTTTACATCCTGTTGCACCATACGGTTGATCTCCGCCAGATCCGTTCCAGCCCGTAGAATGCACAGGTCGTCGGCGAACATATGCGCCGTACAGTGTTGTAGCACACCATACAAACTGTTGACGTGCATTAGGTAACATATAGGTCCACAGCCAGAACCTTGAGGCACCCCACACAATACTTCTTTCTCTTCACTGTACCTGTCACACACCTTCACTCTGTATGACCGTGAGGTGAGATAATCTCTGAACCATTTGTTCAGCGATCCACCAATCCCACACTCCTCCATTGCATTTAACAAGGTTTCTGTTTGAAGTGTTTCAAAAGCTTTTTTAAAATCAAAAAATATTGCTACTACAATCTTTTTATCTCCCAAGTACTCATTCACTTCATTGGTAAAATTCGATAATAACGTGCTAGTACTTTTCCCTTTCTGGAATCCATGTTGACTCTTGTTAATAATGTTATTTTTTTGAAGATAATTCCCAAGCTGATCTACAATACATTTTTCTATTATTTTGTCAATGCTTGACAAAATAGATATGGGCCTGTAATTAGCATAGTTTTTACGATTACCTTTTTTATAAATAGGGCGCACTATAGCCTCTTTTAACTTAAGCGGAAACTTATGATTACTCACAGACAAATTAACAAGCTTTGAAATTATTGGTGTTATATTATTAATAATTACTTTTAGATCAGACATACGCACGAGATCGCTACCAGGTGATTTATTTGAGTTCATGTTTTTTATTATTTTTTCAACTTGATGCTTTTTAACTGGTTGCCACCTCATGCACACGTCTGTCTCTTTAACATAACTGCTCCTATCTAACCATTTGATGTCACAGTCATGCTTTATTTGTTCAATTTCGTTCGAGAAAACATTTGCGAAATTATTACAAATGTCCTTTATACTAACTTGAGAATCAATATTTGCTAAAATAAAACCATCCAAATCTTGCTTGTTATTACCCATTAATATATGAATTCTCTCCCATATTTTCTTAACATTATTATTACAATCCAATATACATTGTTTATCATACTCGTTACTACATTTATTCAATAATTTTGTACATTTATTTCTATATCTAGTATAACTCAATCTTTTATTCATATTTTTAGGCTCATTACTCCATACAGCAAATAATCTATCTCTTTCTTTTATCATGTTTTTTAACTTGACTGTAACCCAGCTTTTGTTATTTCTATTGCTACTTTTAATTATATTAGTTTTGTAACACTGACTATAAATATCAGTAAACAACTTCCTCAATGCACTATACAGTTTAATTGGACATTCAATATTCATCAAACTATTGAAATTTGCAGTCAATAATTTTTCTCTGACCAAACGATTATCAAGAACGCGACGAGATTGCAAAGTTAGTTTACGCTCGGAACCTGTTCTACGCGGAACTGGCATTTTTGATAAGGATGACTGATTATTATTATCCGAAGAAGCGGGTTTCCAACGCACCGCTGCTGACACGTAGTAGTGATCAGATATTTTATGCTGTATTACAGCCGAACGAATATTAGCTGAAGGTGCACGAATGAAAATGTGATCTAGACATGATTCTACTATATTTCCTGATAATATTTCTCTACGCGTTACTTGATCAATGCATTGGGTAAATCCAAATTCTGCTAATAAATTTTTATATTCAATAACATGATTATCCTGTCCATCTAAGAGATTCACATTTATATCACCACATAAAATTATTTTAACCGTTTTGCATAAACTTTGTAATAAATTACGTAGCTCAGCCAAAAATTGTACTAAGCGGTTGGATTTTTTTATTCTGGGTGGTCTATAGATTGATATTATGAAAACAGATTCATTATTACATTCTAGTGTAATGGCTACGCACTCCGCCACACTCATTTGTGTATAAGGTGTCTCACTCGCTCGCGCAGCCAGAGCTGCTCTCGTGTACACCAACACCCCTCCTCCACTACGTCCCGTGCGGGTAAAACTATGTACATTAAAGCCGTTTATCTTGTAAAAACCCAACAATGAATAATTTATATTTGGCTCTGTAATAACTAGGACGTCAATGTTTATTGTGTTGTTTTCTAAAGTTGCAAGTAATTCAGCAAAATTTTTCTTTAAAGATCGTATGTTTATGTGTACTAAACATAAGTCATTAATCTCACTTAAAGTCAGTAACCAGTTTTTCACACTATCCACGTTGACTGCCTTAATTGATTCATTAGATATACACTCGATATTATTTAGAGCCGCGAATGTTGAGGGTAGCACTTAGACACAATAACACATAACCTACGATACACTCACTTCACTTTTAGTAAATCGCTGATGTCGCTTTCCGATCTTATCCAAAAAGATTTATCACCTTCCACTTTCTTTACTAAAATTTTGCCATTTGTCACCCAGATATATTTGTATATGCCTTGTAATTGCTTCTTGGTATTCCATAATAAAGCCCGTTGGGTTTTTGTGAGATCCTCATTTATATATATTTTATCCATATTTTTACCACCTGTAATTGTATTACTGGTTACCCCAACTAGCTTTTTACGTTGCACAAGCCAGGTGTCACGAATATTGGTGCCTGAGGTCTTGAACCCTATTACAATGGGTGATGGTTTATTATTCTGTTTGTTAACTTTGTTTCGCCTAGACCAGTCAATCTCATCACAATGTACTCCTAAGGTATTTCCAATTCTAGTGACAATATCTTTTATGTTTTCACCGGGCATCTCTTCAATACCTACAATCTCAATATTGTGTTTACGAGTGGATTGTTCGAACTCGTGTATTTTTTGTTCAAGCGCGACGTTACATTTTTCCAAGTACACGCATTTGTTGCTGATAGTCGTAACGGTATTTTCTAATTTAATTATTTTTGTTTTAGAGCGTTCCTGCTCTTCTAGCAACGTATCATATTTGTCAGAGAGAACGCTCATACTTTGTGTAATGGAATCTAACTGTTTTATAAGACTCGGAAGGGCGCTTACCTTTTTTTGAATGTCTTTCAAAATCTTCTCGCACAACTGAACATCTTCTTCTTCTACATCCTCGGTTGAGGAGTCTTCTTCTTCACAATTATTGCAGTAAATTCGCGCTTTACCACTTTTCATATCCGCTGCAAGACCCTTAACACAATTTTTGTGAAAAGTTCCCTGACACGGTCCTTGACATTGGAAATGCAAACCCTTCTTCGATAGTATTTTTTTACACTTTTGACACTCCATTTTAAACGCAACTTATTATCGCATGAGTTAAATAAATAGCCAGTGACGCACGCGCACTCCGCTTGGCGCCTATTAAACTATTAAACTGTTATCTATAATCTGTTATCTATAATTCTATTAATAGAATCCGAATAATTACCTACATATGTTCATTAGGTATTAATATCAATATATAATAATATTTTTCATTAATGCACTAAGGTTTATTTAAAAAAAAAATTAAAAGCACCTAAAATGTCATATTTTGGACAGGTACTTTTAAAGAAAGTAACCAAGGTATTTAAAATTGCGTGTCCAACTTTATTATTACTTAGTTAACAATTATATTCACTACATAATTACCGGCAATACAAATTGAAAATTCGAGAACCCTTGTCTACTATATTATATCTCATTATATTTATGTAATTAATCTGTATTATATATTACTCTGCACTAAATAAATGAAGAATACAATAACTGAATGAGTCTCCTCTCTCTCCTCCTCCTCTCTCCTCCTACTAATCTCTTTATCCCGTTTAGATGATAATGAACAGCCGTACACAGCACAACTCACGACCATTATAAATAGTAACGTACAATGATGTTATAATTATATTAACGTACAGTCAAGAGCACATCAAACTTGAAACTTTCTACTTTGGACCTCTCGTAAGCGGCATAGAGTTGGATTTAAATCTTAAGTGTCAAGCTTGGCGTGCTCTTGCCCCTACACAAGTTTCGTAATAAACAAATGAAAACTATGTTCAAATATCAAAGCCATATTAGAGTGAAAACCGTCTATGTGTGGGGCGTGATGCGGTATCTGAAACTAGCAAGAGACGGAGAGTGTCCATTCTCTTTACTTTTTTGTTCTCTGGTGACAGTCGCAGTGCATAGAAAATCTTTGCGATTTAAAACTCTGAATGTCACTGCAACTGTTATGACTAGGCGTGTCGCTTAACACCAGGCGCACGATTTGTTCGTCCCGTCATTTGATATTATTAAAAAAATATATGTATAGGTTGTGTTACAGCAACAATAACAACAAAGACAGTGGCGAAAACATGTTGTTATTGCTTAACCGAAATAGGTAAGTAGAAAAAAGCAAGGGGATAATGACGTCAGGATACTGAATTATGAAACAAGCAACGGGGTCAAATGAGGTCAATCTACTCTGCTCTATATAGTAACAATTTTTAGTACGGACACCTCTCTCTCGAAATCAGGTATTCCATACATTTCGTATGACTTGTTTTGTACCCATGATTTTGTGCACTATTTACTTTTATAAATTGAGTCATTTGGGGTGCACGAAGGGAGCCTCAGACTACCTCCGGACCAATATCAAGTTAACATTTGGCTTTTGTGTAATAATGAACATTCAATTTTTAATCCAGATTTAAATCCGGAAAAATAGTTTCATTTCCTATGTGTAACAATCGCGAAAACCTAAGAACTCGAAGTGAACATTCAATTTAATGTCACTTAAAATAAGTACTGATCAAAGTGTAAATCGGAACGTTCTATCCACTGCACACGCAAGAATTGCCATTGTAAGATATACTGACAGTGACATATCAGAAATTATTAAAGGGAAAATTAAATTAAATTATTACAATAAAAAAAAGAAGCGTTCAAGTTGTTCATTTTTACTAAAGCGTGAACCACATTCAGCAGGGGCGGGTCGGGCGCGAGTCGTGTCGGGTGCCGATTTATACGGACGACAACAAACCAACGCGGGCGCGAAAGTTTGTTGAAACGGGTTAAAACCCTACACTTTAGGCAAAAACCTCGTTAAAACCCGGGTGGGTGTTAATCCACTGCCCATCTCTGGTCATAATATAATATACAAAAAGTATTACGCAATATAAACGTCAAGATAAAAAGTGCACTCGTAGCCTATCAAAATGAGCCTAAACACCAAGTTACACTGATTCTGTTGACTCTATGGTTATGTCGAGATCAGCCTACATATGAAAAGTGTTCTTTCAACTTATCAAAACACACAAACAAAAAAAACCGACCTCAGAGTTTGTGGAATTACATATTTTTGCCAAATTTTATTGAAATGGTTAAATGAAAGTAGGTGAAATACAATAAATCGGAATCATCCATTAATTTGCCACCCTTAGAGTTGGCATATTTTCTACAAATTTGAATGTGACTACTACTGAATTACCCCTTTTCCAACAAAAAAAGAAACATCGAAATTGGTTCACAAATATCGGAGGAATCGCGTAAGAAATAAAAATACAGGCGAATTGAGAACCTCCTCTTTGTTTGAAGTTGGTTAAAAAATAGTATTTTCATACATTTATATGCTCGTGTAAGAGTTTCTTTGAGGAAGTATCTAAAATGGTCGAAAGGGAAATGGTATTACTGGTTTACCACACGTTACTTTTACTTTAAAAGAGGGTATAATGTTTTGGGGAACTGTTTCAGGTATTCCGTACTCCATGCTCAAAAAAGTATGTGCGAGTTATTTGCAATTTGAGGCTGCAAATCGTATTTCAAAGAATTTAAGGCTTCAATTTTAATCACAAGGCATTCAGAAACGTTGGGCACGTAATTGTGACAAGTTGTGTATACAAATTACATAACCCTATAACATTCAGTAAAATATACGTAATGGCGTCTAAAATGCACAACAATAATAATTTTCATGAATGTAAAAAAAAAAGATTTTGTATATCGAGTTTTTAGATTTTTACGATTGTTACACATAGGAAATGAAATATATTTTCAGATCTAAATCTCGTATATTTCTTGTACTGATGAGTCAGTCGTGACCTTGGGGACCTCTAAAGAGCCCGAAATATTGGTTTGTGTGAAAAGTAAATAGGCACCTACATTTTTTTAAGCATAGCCTCCACTAGGGAAACACTGTGTCGCGAGTGCCATGGACACACTCGTAGACAACCACAAATTACACCCAAACTCACGAGAGAAATAAATGGTAGGACATACAAATATTTCTCCCGGCCCGGGAATCGAAGCTGGGACCTCTGCGTGGTAGTCGCAGCTGCGAGGCATGGTAACCGTTCGGCCACGGAGGCAGTTACAGGTCCCCAAACTTTTTGGCTTACCGACCACTTAGGCAAGATAAAAAAATGTCAACGCCCACTACCACAAAAAATAATTGAAATCACGTATTTTTTATATTAAATGAACACAAAAAATCACATGAAAAAAAATACCTACTTATTTTTTCATATATTATATTTCAGTATAGTTTATAAAGATAATTCAGGTTTTTTTCAAATGCGGCAGCACCCCTTAATCAGCATTAACGCTTCAAACGCCTCTACCGCCCCCTAGAATTCTTCAGGGCCCACTGGTGGGCGGTAAGGACCACTTTGGGAAACTGTGCTACATTCGACTTAGATCCGAAAACATGTTTTCATTTTCCAAAGATTTTACAATGTCTAATTAAATAAATTACAAGTCCCATGGTCGTGGTGGTTCAAAATAGTTCGAAAGTTGGTTTGCTTGAAATAAAAAAGAAAACACATGTACACGATTTAGATCTGTGTAGCTATCGCGATGTAAATGAAATCTTTTACAATTAATAAGTAGTAGTAGTTTTTACTTTTTGGCTTTAATTGATGTGCATGAAAGGAGTCTCATTGACGTCCAAATTGTATTCCCAATATGTATGGCGCACTTTAGGCAACAATCAATGCCATACGCCGATTGGAAAATCTTTTCACCGCGATGGCGAACATATCTTATGTACAGGTTAGCGTGAAGGCTACTAGTGACTTGGCAAGTGAGGTTTTGTGCTGTATTTATTGTCCTTAATAGCATACCAACTATAGTAGAATAATAATAAATAATTCATATTTATAAAATAGGAACCTGTTGTAACTTATCCCGACAATAAAATAAAAAAAATATTTAGAAGAAAAGCTCTATTGAAGTTTGGGTCAATAAAAAATTCTTCCTACTCAATAAACGAAATCATTTCATTAGTGACGCTACGGTATAACGTTATTGGCAATTTTAGGGAGAAAAAATGAAAATAATTCACAGCTCTTTGAGAAGGTTCTTTGCGAATGTTACTACGACTATCGTTACAATAAAATACACAGACAATGTATGTGTGTTATTTCGAGTTCAGGGTGGATATTTCAAAGTAAGACGTCATATTCACAACACACGACTCGGCCATTCCCCTAAATCTCTCTGTAAGTGAGCTTGTGTTCCGTCACACGACCAGATTAGCCTAAGCTCTGAGATCTGTTTTTTGTTCTTCAATTTATTCGTTGCTATACAGTGGTAAATTTAAAAAAAATGATGAATTTAGCACAGCCAGCGCTAAATGGCCCGGTCAACGCTAAATGTTCCGCATACCTAATGAATACGTGAATGACCCGGATTTTACCAAATAGTATTATATTGTATGAATATGGAAAAAAGGCTGATGTAGAAGCAGCACATCATGATTTTATCGTATTTTTTAGGTTAGTTTTCTAACCCTTATTTCGTTGGAAAATTTTTAATAATATTTCAGGATACTACACTCGAATATTAAATAATACCTACTCATGGTAATATTCTAGAATATTTAAATAATAAAAATTGCCACCGAAATTAGTTAAACTAACCTGAAAATTATTCACGTGTGAACATGCATAAAAGAAGAAAAATAAATAAAATTTGTTGCAAATTTTGTCATTGTCTTTCGTCAACGTTGTTCTATTTGGGAAATCTTCCACAACTTTTTTGACAATATTTTACATAAATATGTTTGGTAAGCTTATTAGCATTCTCTTTTAAATGCTTTGCCTTATTTTTACGAAAACGTAAAACGTGGTGGCGCAATGTGTTGACAAGAAAAATTTCATTTGTTCCCGTGTAACTTTGTACTCCATGAAAAAATGTTCAATCACATGCGAAAACAG